CCCGGCTCTTCTCTCACCTCGCTGCCGGAATTAGAAGTCCGGGAGTGGGTTCGGACCGCAGAGCATCCCGCAATCCGTTGGGGAGTGCCGAGCGACGGAATTATCTCCGGGCTGTGTAGCGCGGTTAAAATTCGCATCGCGCAAGGGCGGGGATGCACACGCACATTGGCTGAGGACGAAGGCAGCAGCAGACCGCGAGAGGGCTGTTCCCCTGCGGGCAGTTGCATTTCGAATGCACCCGGCGCGACTGGCGCAGTTCCCGACATTTCTCGCACTGCGACACGGGGCGGCCTTTCTTCTGATTCTCAAAGAGCGGGCGCTGGTATGATGGCACGAGGACGAGCGGTGGCCCTTGATGCAGGATTCGCTGCACAGGAGGTCATTTATTGTGTCGGGTGCGGCAGGAGATGCACGATCGTACCAGGCGAACTTTTTGCATTCACAAAGACCTGAAGAGATACGAAGGCAGATAAGCGAGGGGGAGAGCACGAGAAGCTGAGCGGGACGCACCATTATCGAGCGCTGGGTCCGGGGCGAAAGTGTGCGGGAGGCAAAGCCGAATGCGAGAGAAGATGACGATCACTAAATAACGACGATACGGCTTATGTAAACCTCAGTTTTCTGTTTCATCACCGCGGCGTTGACTGGTTTCCTTGTGTGATACCATTGGGACGCTTTTTGGCTCATACGTTCCCCATACGTACGCGGTTCATGCTGCGTGTCTTTCTGCAAAGCTTTTGTGCGAACTGAACTTGTTGGCGAGCCTTACGCCTCACGCGAATCCTTTAGGTAATACGTCCGTTCTTTTCGGCGAAAGTCCCGCAATCGATGTGCAAGCTGTCTTTCCGTGCTGCACATCTGATTCGGTGCTTCCTGCGCTCCACCGCAGCCGGCGGCTAAGAATGTATACAGTCAGGAATTGATGATGGCACTGGTGGTACAGAGGGAAGCAGCAAAATAAAGATAACCAGGTCTAGTCGTCATCCACAACATGGAGTCATCCCCTCGTCCTCCGTCCGATATCCGATTCTTTCAACATCTTTCGGCGCAGCACGAGCCGGTCGGGCGCGCGACGGACCCGCCGCGACGACCAGGTCGTCCTCGTCCTCGTCGTCGCTGTCAACGACCTTCTTCGGCGGCGCGGTTTCTTCTTTGGCGGCGAGGCGGGCTTCATGCTCTTGAGATCTTGCGCGTCTCCTTGCCGAAGAAGTCGGTGACTGCTGCCTGCTTCTTCCTCGGCGGCTCGTCGTCGCTGTCCACGGCGCTGTCGAGGCTGGGAATCGGTGAGCTACAGGCGACTGTAGCAAACTCATGCATACCTCTTCCGCTTCGCAGCCGGGTTCGCCCTCGGTGGCTCGTCCTCGTCCGAGTCATCGACATACAGAGGCTTCTTGGCTGGCGCCCGGGCCCTGGCCTTCGGTGGCTCGTCGTCCGAGTCCTCGACCTTCATCGTCTCCTTCGCCATGGCAGCCTTGCCTTTGGGCTTGGGCTTGGGCTTGGGCTCATCTTCGTCGACTTCCATCTTCGTCGGCGCGCGTTTCTTCGGAGCCGCCTTGGACTCGGAAGCCTTCCTCTTCACAACCGCCTTGGTCGGCCTAAAGTCGTCCTCGGAGTCTGATCCACCGCCGCGCTTGCCACCGATCGACTTGCGAGTCCGGAGAACAGTCTGCTTCTTCTTGATCTTCCGCCCCTTGGCATCGGTGAACCGGCCCTCCTCCATCAAGCGCTGGAACGACTGCACAAGGATACGGATTGAGCTCAAGTGAAAAGGGTGGAAGCGCAAAAACACACCTCCCATTCCACCAGGAAGCTATCCAGATCCTTGTTCCACATCTCTTTCGGTGCGATCTTCAGCAGCGTAAGCAACTCTTCCTCCTTCTCGCCTGCATTCTTGCGCAGTTTGTCGATCTAGTCGCAACGCATCAGTGACAGGCGACCCATCGTATAGCAATGCTCGCACCTTCTCTTTGGTCAAGCTGTAGATAGCCATCCCAAGCAAGTAATCGTAATCAGAAGTGTTTGAGCTCCCCGCAGCGAGATTCTCATTCTCATCTTCGTCCTCGTCCTCCAAAGCTTCGGCGTTTTCCCCTGCTTCTTTGGCCTTCTTGATCTTGGGGAACGGCCGAAAGTCGAGCTTCTTGAGATCCACGACGATGTCCGCCTTCTTCCGGTTCGACACGATCAATTGGCGATCCACAATCATCTGCACGAAACGCGCTTGGTTGGTGAGTTTCTCGAACACGTTTTGCAGGTCATTCGCGAGATGGTCCTGAGCGATCCAGTGAGACCACACGATCATCGAGAAGAAAGCGACGACCCCGCACCTTGCGTTTCTGGTAATAGGCCAACCGCACCGGGTAAAAGTCCTCCAGAATCTCCTCAGGAGAGTCGTACTTCTTCATCTGGCCCTCAAAGTCGAAGCACATCATGTTCGAGGTGGTTGTCTTGCCCGTCAACTTGAAAAACTCGAGCAGACCCTTCTCCTCAGCGGCCTCCAGCTTCTTCTCGTCCATCGAGATGACAAAGTGCACGTTCTCGTTGTCATGGTGCTCCTTGTAGTCCTGTTGCTAAGCTTGAGCAGACCGTTCCAGCATGATGAATTCCTTGAACAGACCTTGATGCTCCCCGCCTCAATCATCGCCTCTAACTCGACCTTGTAAGCAGAAGTCCACTTGTGGATCGGCAGCTCCGTGATCTCGACCGAGGTGTTGTTGATCTTACGGGCGACGCCGAGCACATCGTACTTGTGCTTTGCCGTTGCTTTGATCTCACCGGTGTACCCTCGCCACCACGGATGCATCGGCACCAGTTCCTCGCTATTCATCAACCGGCGCAGATTGGCGACGACGTCGGACGGGTTGAAGCAGGGGATGTTCGTGCTCCATCCTGTTCAGCGCTCAGTTAGACAACTGCACACACGTAGACGATCGACAGCCCAAACAAGCACACGCACCCGTGCCGATACCCTCTGCACCATTGATCAGCACCAACGGCACGACGGGCAAGTACCACTCGGGCTCAACGACCTGGTTGTCGTCGGTTTGGGCTTTCAGCAGCGGGTCGTCGTGCGGATTGAATAACACGCGGGCGACGGGCGTCGGCATCGTGTGGATGTAACGCGCAGAGGCATGGTCCCGTCCTCCCATCTCACGCGTACCGAATTGGCCTCCGGGCTCGAGCAAATTCATGTTGTTGCTACCGACGAACGTCTGGGCAAGATTGATGATGGTCTGGGCCAAAGAGATCTCGCCGTGATGGTAGGCGGCGTGCTCGCCGATGTACCCGACGAGCTGCGCGACCTTGACTTCCTTCTTCAAGTTTCGCTTGAAACACGCCCAAATCACTTTCCGTTGACCCGGCTTCAGACCGTCGGCGACGGAAGGGATAGATCGCACGTTGTCGGCCATAGAGAAGAGAATTAGCTCCTTGTTGATGAACTCCGAGTAAGGAATTTCCTCCATGCGGTGATCGAGGTAAGTTCCCGGCTTCGATTCAAGTTAGAGAGGAGATGCAAGTTCTAAGAAATGCAAACGCACCTTGAACTGTCGGAGCCATTCCTTACGATCGTCTGTCTTCTTTTTGCTGAATGCGAGGTCGATCAATGCTCGGTCGCCATCCTGCGTCGGTGCGAATGGAATCATATGCTTCTCCATGTGGCTGAAGTAGTCGCGGGCATCCTGATCTGTGCTAGTTCCGAGACCCTGCTCGTGGTGAGTGAAGCCGCGATATCCAACAAATTCGGACGCACCTTGTAGTACTTGGGATCCCATTTCGTCGCGTCCGGGGTGTCTTCAAGCCACTGATAATATTCAGGCAAGGTGAAAAAGTCTTTCCACTGCTTCCCCTTCTTGACCTGAAAACCATTCAATCGCCAATATTGATCATGACCAATGCTCTTACTCGGACGATGGGAGTCACGAACTCGACGAGAAAGTCGTCGAGCTTCAGAAGCGACGGGTAGAAGGTGTCCAAAAAGTTGATGAGCAGACCCTTGATATGCGACCCATCGTGGTCTTGGTCGGCCATAATCATGAGCCGTCCGTAACGCAGACTGGACACATCCTGATATTCCTTGCCATGCTGCAGCCCCAAGATCTTCTTGATATTCTGGATTTCTTCGTTCTTCATGATCTGCGCATGCGCCGCCTCCCGCACATTGAGTAACTTTCCCCGGAGCGGGAAGACACCAAAGTTATCTCGTCCAACGACACTCAGCCCCGCGATAGCGAGCGACTTGGCAGAGTCCCCTTCGGTCAGAATAAGAGTGCAGTCTTTCGCGTGCTTTGTTCCAGCGTTGTTTGCATCCGAGAGCTTAGGGAGACCCGTGAGCCGGCTGCGTTTCGTCCCATCCGTCTTCTTGATCTGTTGGTCGGCTTTGAACTGGGCCCAGTTGAGGATGCTTTCGATGATCGAGGACTTTTGAACTGGACGAAGATCAATTCATGAAGGGAAATGCCACAAATTCATGCCAGGCTACCTTTCTTCATGAACTCATCTGACAACGACGGTTTCGTACCGAACTTGGACGACTGCAGTGTCAGCGTATCCTTGGTTTGACTGTCGAACGTCGGATTCTCGATGAGCGCATTGACGAAGATCCACATGTGGTTCTTGATTTGACCAGCCTTGACCGCTGCGCCTTTGTTCTTCTTCCCGATCATCGCCAGCAGATTCTTCGAAATCTGGTCCGCGATGAGGTTCACGTGAGTTCCGCCCTTGGAGGTCGAGATAGAGTTGGCGAAGGAAACCTGCTGGAAAGTCCCATCCGAGACGGCAAAGGCGACCTCCCACCGATTACTGATGCGCTCGAAAATCATCTCCGTCTTGGGAGCAGCAACGCCGGTCGCATCTGAGGTGGCCGCAGCAGCGGACGACAGATAGAGCTCGACATAAGACTTGAAGTTCTTGACCTTGGAGATCCGCTTGCTGTTGTAGAACACCTTCACATCTCTCACGGTTCCGGCCATATCATACACTCGCTTCCGAAGGAGACTGAGCGTATCTTCGTCGATTGCTTCCATTCCGAAACGCTTCAAGTCAGGCTTGAACGTGATCTTCGTCCATTCCTCTCCTTTCCCGTTCTTCGTGATCTTCGCCTTGCCGCATTTACCCATATTCTCCGTCCACACCTGCTTGTACTTCTGTTCCGACTTCTTGTCCGCCGTTTCCACCGTGAACTCATGCGAGTAGATGTTGGCAAGTTTGGCACCATAACCATTACGGCCACCTGTAAGCTTCTTCTCGTCGTCGTCAAAGTTGGATCCAGCAAGGAGGTGACCGAAGATGAGCTCAGGAATGTAGACTTTCTCCGTGGCATGCATCTCGATAGGAATGCCGTGACCATTGTTGTAAACGGAGATCGTATTCTCCTCGACGTCGATCTCAACTTTGAGCGTGTCCATCTTGGGGTCATTGATCTGCACGACGATCAGCTGTGGGTGCCACAGAAAGAGCGCAGGCGAGAACCTTGTGATCAGCAGCATTGACTAGAATTTCGTCCACAATCTTGAAGAACCCTGGCACGAAGGTGACTTCCCGGAACACCATGCGATCAGTCTCGGCATCGTGAGTCCACATCTGCTGCGTCAAGGTCTCCACGCTCCCGATGTACGAGTCCGGTCGTATTAGAATATGTTGAATCTGGGAGAGCTGCGGGACGCGTGAGTGGGACCAGACCGATAAGACCCTGATTGGCGCTTGCGGCACGTACCTTGGTGTATTTCTGACTCGTAGTCTTCGTCTTCGCAAGGGGTGCTGGTACGTCATTCTCCGTCGTCGGGCCTGCCATCTCAACGTCGGATGCGTCGGCATCGCTCATCCCGTCTGCATCGTTGCTGTCCGCAAGCACTTTCTTCTTGGGGACTGCCTTGGGTTTGCTAGCCGTGGTGGCTTTTGCTTTGCTCGCTGTCGCCTTGCTGGAGGCAGCCTTGGCAGCCTTCGGTGCAGCCTTCGGTTTCGCTGCAGCAGTCTTCTTAGTCGTCTGCGCAACGCGTCAAGTCCATTCGCGGAACGACACGCTGTGGGGCACAGACCTTCTTGGGCGCGTATCCCTCCGACTCGGACCCATCGGAGTCATAATGGTCAAAGTTTTCGCCCTCCGAGGAGCTCATGTTGAAGTGGCGCGAAACGGTGGTCACTGAGTGGAAGGAGTGCTGCTGCAAAGCGTGATGCGCGTCTGGTTTGTTGATTTGGGCCCGGCACGTGCGCGTGATAAGTTGACGTGCTGGAACAACATTGGCACTGACGCTCAGTCGATGAACGTTGTGCCTTGCGAGGAGGCGCAACATTCACGACAGAGCTTGACGCGCTGAAATGACGAGTTTGCCCCAATACCCGCTGTCGCTGTTGGGCTCTGAGACGAAATTTTGCAAGTCACGGGACCGGTCAAGGTGTCCGTAATTCTCAATTCCGCACTTTTGTGACCATACATCGGTAAGGAAAGTATTGAACTTGGTTCTAACAGAATATGTACGAGTTGTCGAGCTTGGATTAGATGAAGCGAATCAAGCGCCCTTGTGCTTGATAATTGGTCTTGTTAGGTATCGTCGTGTGAGTGTCAAGAGGGCGGAGAATAACCCAAACGGTGGAAACAACCAGCTCAACTTCCAACTCCAACCCGCTCTGCGCTCAAGATCCTGTACCAGAGCGTTCACCTTCTCTTCCAGGTCATGCAACGTGCCGGTATTGTCGATGACAGTGTCGGCGTATTGCGCCTTGTCCTCGATAGATAATTGAGATTTGACTCTTGCAGAAGCTTCATCTTCCGTCGAAGCGTCCCTAGCCAAGAGCCGTTCAAGCTGGACGGAAGGAGGACTGCAGGAGAACTTCAAAACGTGAACGAGGCTGCCGTTTAGCACATAGTGCGCACCAATAAACTACGACCACCATCCCAACCAGCTTCCATAGGGGACCCTCGATGAGCAGAGGTACGTCCAGTATACAGTATTTTTCACCAGAAATCCAATTTCTCAATACGCCCCAAAGCATGGCTCGTCTCACAGCAGGATGGATGATGGAGTTGAGTGTGCGTCGCTTGCTCTCGTCGTTGAAGATGATCGAGCCCAACTTCTTCCGGTCCAGCGTTCCATCAGCCTGAAGAACATCCTTCCCGAAAGACTTGACGATGCGCCTGAGGCCTGGCGTACCGGGTTCAACGACTTGTCGCGCGATGACGTCTGCGTCTACGACTGGCAGACCCTTCGCTTTGAGCTGATTCGACACAGTAGATTTACCGGTCGCAATCCCGCCTGTCAGGCCTACAACTGCTCACATTTCAATGATACGTGTTGCATAGAGAAGAGGCGGCGTCACCGAGCATCAGAACGGGGTAGTGGACGTGAACAAGCAGTGATGATCGTGACTACGCCGTGACGACCGCGCCTCGAACATAAACCGCTATGTCGAATCCAACTATTCCTACGGAACAACTGCTAGAGCTTCTGGTTCAACTCAAGGTACCAAGAGGGTCTACTTCTCTTGACTCTGATTTCCTAAGCACAGCAGAAAACGACACCGGCTTCTGCCCGACAAATCTTGAATGACAGACCCCAGATTGCTTATGCTCTCATTTCCCTCATGGTGTCTATGGATTGTATAAAGTTCGACGTTTTCCAAGTACATAAACCTCAGAACTCCATAAACCGCTGTAAATTGAATTCGAAACCAGAAAATCTTGGCCGAGTACGGCGCTGCCGCTGCAGCACCACCTCCCATGCCCATCGCACCTCCACAACTCTCAGCAGTCCCGCCTCATATGCAACCAGCTCCGCACTCGAACTCTCGAACAGCCACTCCACCTGCATATCAAGCGTCGGGGTCTACCTATCCGTCTTACCCCCCTCAGAATCCAAATCCCGGCTGGGGTCGTGGGCCCCCCCAGGGTTATGGCGGGCAACCGCCCACGAGCTATCCCGCGCCATCATTAGCGCGGCCAGGGCTCAATGAAGCACTAGCCGTCTATCCCGAAAATCAGAGAGTATGTCCTCCCTTCCTCTGCTTACTTCACCTTCCTTGATTTCACACCGCTCTAGCAAGTGATATTGACTCTACTGTCCTTGACGCCAGAGCAAATCAACAATCTCCCACCGGCAGATCGCGCAAACGTTTTACAAGTGGTATGTGCTGTACTCCGCGCGGTGAAGGCCTTGCATCTGGATAGTACTGACTCTCGGCTGGCAGCGAGCGTCACTGGGCTTTCAATGATTAAGGATCGGGAGGGTTGTGATCATCTATTCGTGAGAACAGGGCCTGATGTATATTTATGATTGTGCGCCGGGTCTACCACTAGTGAATGTCTAAGTACTCCATGACCGCACTCCCTTCCTTAAGTCGTATCTTATCTTATCTTATCCGTCGACCGTCATCAATATCACAAGCAAATCTTTCTTCCTTAGTACCACGAGCATCGTCGACGACTCACCGCCCGCATGCCACACAAACGCGCCAAGCGCTCAGTCAGGGATACTCAACGTGCTTCAAAGTAAGCAATGACCAAAAGCTCGCCTTGCTCTACTGATCAACAAATTTGCAGAGGCATCGACCTAGCGCCGACCCAACGCACCGCCCTGGACTCAGAACCGCTGCCCAAATCATTTGTCCGAGCGCTCAACGCTGAAAAAGTCAGAGCCGAGTATCGAGAGAAGAGGAAGCGGGCAGAGGAGGAAGGACCGGAGGAGCGCAAGAAGCGGAAAAAGCTGGACAGCGGCGTGCAGGACAGCAAGATCCGGCCTGGGGAGACCCTTGCGCACTTTAACAAGTATTGAACACGTCTTCAACTTGTGAATCCTACTTACGCTCGTGCAGGAGGATTGAAGCGGATATGCGCCCCCTGGTGCGGTCTGCTGTGCAAGCGTCGAATGCTGCTGTCCGGGCGGAAAAGAAGAAAACGACCGCCGTGAAAGAACCTGAAACTCAAGAGGCAACAAAATCTACGAAAAAGCAGGACTCTGTGCTCTCTCATTCGCAGCCCAAGCACGCATCCGAGTCACCAATCCCCGACAGACCGATAAAAGACTTCGCCCGTGTATCGACTGCCGCCCCTCGCCGTCTGAACGATATAGCACAGGCTCCGCCGGACATGCTGTCGCTCGGCCATGCCCGAAGAGCGGAAAAACTCACGGGTATGGGAAAGAAGAAGAAGGATGTGATCTCTCCAGCTCAACAGCTGGCGCTTGAGGCTGCACGTCTCTCAGCGGTGGCGAAATACAGGGAGATCAAGGCTGCTCGATTAGCGGAGAAGACGACATGACCCGTCTCCGGGTTGCAACCATGCCACATCCTCCGAGCAATCAGTTGGACAATCAACGGAAGAAAATAATTTCTCGACTTGATGGTATATGAAGCACTACTGCCTACGTAAACGGCACAGGGTACTCACTACCCTCTCCAAGACTCGTTCTATCAGACCGTGTTCAGACAGTAGCAGTAGGATTCGTAGCGGCGCCATACGAACCAGTTCTCAGCAATGACCATGCGCTGCGCGAGGATCGCCGGGTGCTGTTGCCAGAGGGAGGCCCACAGGAGAATCCAGGCAGGATCGGTGTGAACGGCTGTGCAGTCGAGCTTGATGGAAGCGGGGATCGGAGAAGGTGGGTGTCCGCGATACCAGCTTGATCCATCACAAGCCTGAGTAGCTCTGTGGCCACGCTAAACGGAAACCGAGCCATTGTATCCTTCATGTCATTCAAATATGTTATGTAGTCATCGTCTTGGAATACCCAGTGTTCTGTTGTCAAGATGCAAGTTGAACAGAGAGTTCTTCCAAGAGGGTATGATCCTGGCGTCCCAGATCAGAAAGTGGATCAGGCAATTGTCGGTAAGCATGTATCACCCAGCTCCCAAAGACACTGAACCTCCAGTAACATGGTTCTATAGCCTTTGCCCTTTCTAAAACAAGAGCCGGTGTTTTGGCTTTTATGAGAGGCTCTCAGGTGCTATTGCCTGTTTCAGGTACTTTCGGAATTGATTGAGTGTCCCCTATATGTACATGTGAGCAGTAAGAACTCGATGAACATCTGACTACCAGCCTACAGAAGCCTGGAAATTGTCCATGCGCGTCAGGATATCAGTCTGTTCTTTCATCAGAACAATCAGCTGCTGCAGTCTGCACATAGCATGAGCAGTCGTGACCATGCCACGTGCAATCACACTGGACGCCTTTCTATCCAGGTTGGCTTCCACTTCGGCTTTGTCGTTGTTCATGGGGGCAGATCTCATGGGGAGAAGGAAATTGCGTTGCTCCTTAGCCCCATTGATCTCCACGACCTCGTGGGATGACTTCTCTGACAGCGGAAAGTGGGATCGATGAACTTTGATTTCCAGACGAGCATGTACAGCCATGGGCCTGAGAATCGCTGATGAGACCCTTGTGGTAACATCGTCGAGAGCAAAACAGACTCGCTCGAGACAGAGCGGGACGGATCTACAGAACTTGACGGAGCAGCCAGTCGAGAATTCGTGCACGGGTAACAAGCGTGTACGGGCACGCCGGGGCACATTGTGAACTCATCTGTCGTAACGGGAGCCGAAAGTACGATATATGATGTCACGTGGGAGGCACGTCGGTTCTCGGATTGTCATGCCGTGCTTGCGAGGCATGAGTCTAATCTATCACCTGGCACCCCGTCCCCGCAATCGTCGTTCCAGAAATCTCCTGGTACTGAGCATTGAACGCAAACGACGAGGGCGCATATACACCAAACCATCGTCCGCACGTATGGGCGAGCTCAATAGTATATGTAATCGTTGGGCCCAGGCGCCTCATCCGTGGACTCAGATGCAAGGAGATGGCTCGAAGCGAACTTCTTTCCTACATTAGCCGCACCCCACCGCTTCTGAGTCCGGACTCTCTCTGCCGAAGGCCCACATATGCTCCCATCGTCACGGAAGAGCGGATCCTGATCCTTTCGCCGTCGAATCTATTTTGGGATGTTTAGCTGGTTGACTTGCTTGCTTGTCTGCTCCTCCCACCGATGCAAATGCAGCAGCAATACTTTGGACTACGCGGAAAATCGCTCAATGGCGCTCTCGTCTGGGCCGTGGTGCTTCCCGCCTATCTTCTGTTCGGGTACAATCAAGGCGTTGCGGGTGGACTGCTGGACCTCCCCGATTGGTTGGCGACGTTCCCGACCATGGACGATGTGACCACTACGGGGAGCCAGAAAGCGGCGAACTCGCGTATCCAGGGTGCCACTGTAGCGGTTTACACGCTCGGCGCGCTTTGCGGCGCTCTGGCGTGCAGCGTCATTGGCGACAAGCTCGGCCGGCGGCGGACGATCATGCTGGGTGCGGTAATCACCAGCATTGGCTCAATCCTGCAGTGCTCTGCCTTTGCATACGCCCAGCTCGTCGTTGGGCGGTGGATTTGCGGACTCGGATTCGGCATGATCAGCGCCACCGCTCCCAATTGGCGAGTGCTCATTCCTGCCGTCGACTCGCCCACTCGGCGCTGCTGACCACTTCTTCAGGCAGACTGAATGTAGCCGGGGACACCGTGGATTCGTCGTCATGCTCGAGGGACTGTTCATCTCCGCTGGATTTGTGATTCAAGCTTTCCTCAATGTCGGCATGTCGCACACGTCCGGTGGTCTGTCCTGGCGCTTCTCATTGGGGTTCTCGTGTTTCTTTGCGATCATTGTTCTGCTATCAACGCCGTGCTGGCCAGAATCTGTGCGTGTTTCCGATGGTCGCAAGAGCTGTAGTGCCGACTATCACCTAGCCCCGATGGCTCGTCAAAGTTGGCCGCATCGAAGAAGCTAAATGGGTCATCGCGGCGTTGGACGATGTACCGGTCGACAGTCCGTCCGTAATTGCGGAGATCCGTGAGATCGAACTGTCTCTGGAGGAAAACGGTAAAGGCAGCTTTAGCGATGTCTTCCGTAACGGACCGAATCGCTTCGCCAACCGGGCCTTCATTGCCGCAGCGGCGCAATGCTTCCAACAGATGTCTGGAATCAATGTTTTGGGCTATTACCAGACCACGATCTTCAGGACCTTTCTCGGCCTCAGCTCCGACACGGCTCGCATTCTGTCTGCAACTGTTTTCACATGGTAAGGGCCTAAAAAGGCATCCCTCTCAGTGCTGACTGCGCCGCTTCGATAGGCAGACTCTCTGCGCTCCGATTGGCGCTTTTACCATCGAGACCGTGGGTCGCCGCAAACTGATGATGTTCGGCGCTGCCGGGATGGGAATGTGTATGGCGGTAGTGGCTGGGTGTACTTCCCACCCGGATAATCATACTGCCGTACATGCTGGCATCGCCTTTATCTATCTTTTCAGGTACGTAACTTGCAGCTCGAGACATGCATCTGGTGTTGACAACTCACCAGCACGTTCTTCGTGACGGGATTTCTGGGACTTGCATTCTTGTACTCGTCCGAAATCTCGCCTCTTAGCGTCCGCACACACATGACTGCCCTTTCGACCACTTCCACATGGCTATTCAACTTCACCGTCGTCGAAGCGACCCCTACGGGCTTCTTATCGCTTCGCAACAACTACTTCATTATCTATGCGTGTATCAACTGGTTCATCATCCTACCCAGTGAGTAGCCCATCCTTCTTGGTCGGCTTTGGACGCTCATATTTGACGCACGCAGCGGTGTATTTCTTCTTTCCCGAGACGCAGGGCCTATCTTTGGAGCACGTGGATAGTATTTTCCTCGAGAGCCGAAGCATATTTGACCCAGTCCGCGTCTCCAAACGCCTGCGCGCGACGAAGGAGGTCGAGCATGGGCCGGTGGAAGTTGATGAGAAGGCTTCGGAAGAGAAGACGGAATTTAAATGAGGATCTGTGAATGTTTGTAGTATGATCATGATGGAATATGAGAAATGTTGCCTCGGTTCAGCGCTTCGGTCATGTGATCGCGATGTGCGATGACTGAGCCACTAAAAGTTTTGACTTCGATCATCTGGGTCCTCCGGGCATCTCTCTCTTCTGAACACTCGCCTCACATAGAAGAGTGTCGATCCTCTGTTATATACTTCCTTGATCTTGCTCCACGGCCCAAGATCTTGAATGGCATCAGACACAACGCCCGCTGCCCCCTCGCTCTTCCCCACTATCGGCTCCATCGC